CGAGGTGGATTTACAGGAAGCCCATTTCATTGAAATGGGATGGTTTGAACAAGGAAATCGTTTGGGGAAACTTCCCCGAGCAAGTCCTTAAAACAAACCCGGGTGGTCTTTTTTTTTTGACCCCGCTTCCTTTTTGGGTTTTGCCTTGGACCATGTTGGACCCCGGGGTATTTAGATTGAGGCCGCTAGAAGAACGTTGATCTGCTGCACAAATTTCAGCGGCGAACAAGCTTTCACACACTGTCGCAAGAGCTGCCGAAAGGCACGGCAAATGAGCGTCAATTGGCGCCCCGCGCCAAACATAGCCAGAGCTTTTGCTGATGTTGGGGCTCACGGGATCTCAGGATCCCCAGACGCCAAGAGCCAACTGTTGAAGTTTTTGTGGAGGACCAAACGAAAGGCAGGTGTTTTGCACCCACCTTCTATTTTCGGTTCAGAGGAGTTAAACATCTCTTTTGTCGTTTTGGGGCTCAGTCGCGTAGCCATCCTTGCGCAATGCACGTGCTGCGCGCCTTTGGGAGACAAACGTGAACGTCGACTGTCGACTTTTTGGGGAGCTTTTTGGCTGGGTCTGTATAGACTTGATTGTTTTGGGCAAACTGATTGTTTTGCCACTAATGTTGACCCCGGATATAGAAATCCGTCCTATGAATAAGGGGTGTTCCCTGCAAAAATGATGAATCCCCACCCGAAATCAATGAACATCAACCAGGGGTTCTACTTTACATCCGTGGTCAACATTCCCTGGCACACAAGTTTGTTGTTTTTTTTGTTTTTTGTTTGCACGGAGCCGAGCCATCCAGTGGACTGGGTCGAGGTGGATGGACGCTGCGAGCTGCCTGGCGGCTGAGCGGCACTGCGGGCGCTCCGCAGTGACCTTGGTGCCTCGGCTCCTGGATCTGTTTCGCCCGCAAAAAGGGGCGATTTCCCGTTTAGCATAGCTCACTCCCAGTTGTGTGCCCTGTGATTGGTTTGTTGGGAGACTTGTTTGTGGTAAACAACCAGTATACTGAGTTCCTGCACTCTGCTTTTTTTTTGAAGACTAGCTGTGTGGTAAACAAACAGCATGTATGTCCCTTCCGACCCAGCAAAGGTGCTGATGGGAGCTTCTCAAAAATGGTGGGGGACCCCCGTTTGTTGGTATGCAAAGGGATGCCGAAACACACTCCCTGAGTTCTGTCTCTCTGTTTGTTCTAGGAATGCTAAGGTCCTTCAAACGCACATGTGGGACCAAATGGTTGAAGACGTCCGTTGTGTTTAGGCGGAGGGTTCAAACTTGGGATTTTTGCATATGAGTATGGAACTTCCAATCCCCCAAAACAATATTTCTAAACATGAATAATTATTGCTAACCCCAAAATGGCTTACGTTCGTAAACCCAAGTCACAGCGATCCATTGCAGCCCATCGGTGAGTATTGGTGCCCTGTCGCATGGCTCCCCTGTGGCTCTGAATGGGTTCTGACGCCGTAGGTCATGGATGATCTGGACTTCACGGAGAACTATTGCGCCCTTTTGAAGCGCGGCCACTTGGCTGTCCAGGTCCCTTGGTACCTGGGGACGCGGATTCGGTATGATGCCAGGGCTCTTCGTCTGGGGCGCCCATTTGGTCCCCAAAGGGGGACCCGGGTGATTGATCACTGGACTGGGGCGGGTTGGATCAGCGGCTGGGATTCTATGTGGGGGGCTTGACCCTTTCCTTGGGTCCTGCACTGAGGGGATACCTTTGCATGCCCGTGAAAAGTGATTCCGCTTTGGCCAACCTGATGACTAACAGCTATGGCCAGTTGCGCATGTGCCCAACTTAAACGTGATGTTACAAGCACATGTGTTTCCCGTGGGGATGGTCAGCAACACAAGATAACACAAGTTCCTCACGAAACAATCGCATGGGCCATTCGCATATCCTTTCACAGACCCATTTGAAGTGGGTCGGTCTAACCTTTCCATGGAAGGTCCGCCATGTAAGTGCCTCGTCCTCATGCCATCTTCGGCAAGGCGAGCGCTGCATCCTGGAAGGGAAGGCCGGAGCTCAGCCGAGTGGCGCCATCGAGACATCGCCTTGAGCACTGATTGACTGCCCGCATCTTCAGATGTATACTACCGGAACCCGTGTGCTTTCACGGGACACACAACTTTCTAGAGACCCCCAAATGTGTTTCTTTTGGTTTGGCTGCAGGATCCTCCTCCACCGCCTCCAGTGGCCCGTGGCCATGTTGTTTGTGTTTAATTGGTTCATGTTCGTTGATTTTGGTTGCTTGAATGGTTGAACTGATCCCCCTTCCAAATTGCCGGTTAACCCCTCCCCAAGGCATCCGCAACCCCCCCTTTCCAACCTCCAAATTGCTGGTCGAACCCCCCACTACTCCAACAAAATCAAAGAAACACACAGGATACATCCGCAGTTTTGGTTGAGCCCACAGTCTTCGGCCGAAAACTCCTCGGCCTCTCGGGAGGTGACACGCGCCTTCGGCAGCTCAATGGAGGTGGTGGTCCGCATCTCCGTTGCGGAGGTCCACACGGGCACCCTCCGCATGGACGCTCGCATACCATGGGTCCATTCTGCATTTGGAATGTGTGTGTGTGTGTGTGTGTTTTGTGGTTTCTTCTTTTAAGGGGCGTTAAAAAACGAGGCAGAAGGCAACTAAGGACCAGCAAGTCTGCTGCTGTGGGCAACCTGCCCGGTGGTTAGGGTGTTATTATTTTCAAGGATGGAGCCTCCATGAGTCCTGTCCTTTCCCTTTTTCGCGGCAGGCCCTTGGAACAAAAGAGGCCACACCTCAGAACTCCTTTTCAAATGTCGACCTCGGGTGTCGAGGCTTGTGAATTATTTGTGAGAGGGCTGTTTCTGTGGATTCCTTTGACCGGAGCTTACTGTTTCATTCATGGGTGTCCTTAGGTTTGGTTAGAAATCGATGGCACTGGTTTGGGGTTTATTCCATCAGGGCCACCTATTTTTTCCAATGGCCACTGGTTTCATTCCTATGGGTCGTGAATACTCAGGTGGGCAACGCCTACTTCATGTACGTAGTCATGAAGACGGCAGAGGAGAAGGCCATCGGAAGGTGTGACGGTTTGTGTGCCCAGCAAAACAATGCGCTTCCGAAAGACGGGAAAGCACCATTTGGGTGTTTGTCAAAATTAAACCAGCAACAGACCGCAGGCTTTAGTCCATATTTCCATTTTGCCAGGGTTGCATTTGCGTACCTATTTTTTTTGACCCACGCCCGTTTGAACAGATCATTTGCTCTTACTTTAGACTTGCTAGAGTTCTTTGTCACGAAGGCTCGACAGTTTGAACTTCTCCAGCTAGTCATTTGCTGACAAGTTCACCCAGTAGAGAGAGAGAGAGAGAGAGAGCGAGCTAGAGAGGGAGAAAGAGAGTCAGAGAGAGAGGGAGAGACATATTGGCTTGTGCGTTTTTGAGGATACCCTTTTTCAGTTCCTTTTGAAGGCAAACCAAAGGGGAAACACTGGATGTACAGAATCCTTATTTGGTTTGGATGGAAGCTCTATGACAAACGGGACACACCGGACACTCAACCTCGTGGGGGAAAAGGGTGTCCGTTTTTCCTCATAGCCACTACAGGCTCGCCTTGTGATCGGCTTTCGCAGAAGATAGACGACCATAGGTCATCAGACTTTGGATGGGCGAAGTCCAATTTGCACCTAAGAGAGAGAGAGAGAGAGAGAGAGAGAGAGAGAAACCCCGGAATGATGACTCCCCTATAAATACCAACACGCCTTATGGTTTCAACCACGGTCTCAACCATGGGAAACGAGCGGACGCCGCAGGCGAGGGGCGGCAGCGTGGCGGTGCCGGACTTAGTGCCCAGCACCTCCGAAGAGCTCCTGGAGCATAAGCTGGCGGAGCGGCGCAGGCGCCGACCTTTGGGGGTCTTTTGGGGCACAGGCGCCGGCGTCCTGTTGGTATCTAAACCATAGACATCCGCGACTGGAAAAATGCGGGTGTGGGGGATGTCAAGATTCAATATCGATGTGATGGATGAGGCCTAGAGGGACTGCTGTATAGGCTCTGAGAGAAGCGCAGCAAAAGGCCAAGGAGTCAACAGTGTGCAGCCCTTCGAACGCTTCAATCCGTTGGTTTCCCTTGAACCGCAAAAAGGGGTACCCTCAACAAGCCCAAATAGCATCCCCAACACTGCAGCCAGCAATGGAGTCCCCCAAACACGGAATGCACAAACCTAACTGTTCACCACTACCAAACATAAAACACGAAACAACGCATCACCATATATCACCCCTACCAAAAAAAAAGCCCATTCGCAATTGGGCGTGTACTTGTTGAAGGTACCCTTATCGCCTTGGTTTACAGGAAATCCAAAGGGACAACCCCAAGTTTGTTGGTGCGCCTGAATATCAGTGGGCACCTTTTTCGTTGCCTTGCTGCGTCAAGACCCTCGGCAGAGAGAGGGACAACCCCGGTTTTGAGACCCATCGTCCCTTGCATTTCAGGGAGTTCCGGAAGAAGCGCGAGCGGAAGGTGGAAGAGCTGGTCAAGGCGAACACCGAAACCGACTCGCCAAAGGCGCCGCCACGCATCGCGCGCTCAGGCGCGCGCACGGCTTTTGAGGGCGTAGAGGGGGTAGACGCGTGCCCGCAGGGGAAGCTCGCTTGTCCAAAGCGAATCAACCTTTCGACCTTTGGTTTTCCCGTTCTTGGTCTACTTTCAATGTATGTCACAAGAGCTTAAGCTTTTATTTCCACATCCTCGGAGTCAACTGGGCCCATGAGACTTCTTTATGTTTTTTAATGGTGATATGGTAGTTTTTTTTTGGTTACGGTGTCCCACTGCGGCTTACGGCCCATTCACTCGAACAGCTCAATGGGCAACTTGGAGCCCATGTGTTGGAGCCCCTGTGGCTTGCGTTTGTTTCAGCGAAGGTCGAATCGCCGGTTCTGTGGCGTTTGGCTGAGAAGTGGGACCGTCACGAGCGAAGTTGGGGCAAGTCTTTTTGGCGGGACTCCCGTCACGCGAGCCATGGCCGTTGCCTCAATTCCCGCGCGGCTTCTTCGCCGCCTCCCGGTTCGATCCGCGGCTTTTCCACTCCGCCGCTGGGCGGGACTCACTCGTTGCGGTTGTTCAGTGACGCGTTGTTTTTGGTACTATGACTGCCCATCCAAGATGGTCCACCCGTCAAAGGACCGCCTTTCCTACCAGGCTCAGAGAACAACTAGGATGTTCAAAGATCATTTTGAGCCTGTTGGGTTCGAAACGGGTTCCTTTCGTGGTGTTTGCCAAGTTCGGAGAAGGGATGAGAAGTGGCCAAATCTCCAATTGAAGGAGCCCACAGTTCAGAGAAATGCACGCATCATCTTTTGAGCCAATCCACTCAAGCGAGTGGAAGATCTCAGAAACCCGGAAATATGATTGGTGGAAGGGGGTTGAAGCCCTGAATTCCATTTGTGGCAGTCTTGTGCCTTTGGAAAACTCGGCAAATGGAAAACTCGTGGACGCCGCCTCAAGACGTGAAACATGGGGACTGGTTGATACAGAGTGGCGGACATGTGGGAAGAGTCACAGCTTGTCAAAGTGAATGGCTTGGACCCCGCCTAGAGCATGTAGTCGACTTTCTGAGAACGAATGTGTCAGTGTCATGTGCCGCAAAATGAGCATGTATCAGTTCTGCAGTCAGACTTGGCCTAAGGAAATGCTTGGCACCTTCCCAAGGAGGTGCGGTGTTTCAGGACGTCCCCTTCCTTATTGGCTCTTCAGAAGTTCAAGTTGGCCGACATCGGGGAGGGCATCGCCGAAGTCCAGTTGACCGAATGGTTCGTGAAGGAGGGCGATATGGTGAAGGAGATGGACAACGTGTGCTCCGTGGAGAGTGACAAGGCGTCCGTGGAGCTGACGAGCCCTTACACGGGCAAAGTGGTGAAGGTGCACCACAAGGTTCAGGATACCGTGAAGGTTGGCTCTGTCCTCATTGAAGTTGAGACTGGCGATTCAGCCTCTGCATCAACTCCCGCGCCCACCCCCACCCCTGCACCTGCTGCATCCGCACCAGCAGCATCCAGCGGAGGCGGTGGTGGTGGAGTTCAAACGTTCAAGTTGGCAGACATCGGGGAGGGCATCGCCGAAGTCCAGTTGACCGAATGGTTTGTGAAGGAGGGCGATATGGTGAAGGAGATGGACAACGTGTGCTCTGTGGAGAGTGACAAGGCGTCCGTGGAGCTGACGAGCCCTTACACGGGCAAAATTGTGAAGGTGCACCACAAGGTTCAGGACACCGTGAAGGTTGGCTCGGCTCTTATTGATGTGGAAACAGGGGCTGGTGGTGCCTCCGCCTCCGCTCCCGCACCAACACCCACCCCTGCAGCTTCTGCGCCAGCAGCATCCGGCGGAGGCGGTGGTGGTGGAGTTCAACAGTTCAAGTTGGCAGACATCGGGGAGGGTATCGCCGAAGTCCAGTTGACCGAATGGTTCGTGAAGGAGGGCGATATGGTGAAGGAGATGGACAATGTGTGCTCCGTGGAGAGTGACAAGGCGTCCGTGGAGTTGACGAGCCCTTACACGGGCAAAATTGTGAAGGTGCACCACAAGGTTCAGGATACCGTGAAGGTTTCCCAGTGGTTCAGTGGCAACGTCTTTTTGCTATCACTCGCTTGGTTTTTCCCTTAGGTGGGCATGAAGCCCAAACAAGTCACCCAAATGGATATCCCAAACAGCCTTTAAGATATTTGTTTGTTTGTTTGTTTGTTTGTTTGTTTGTTTTTGGTTTGCTTCTCTGGTAATAGTTGCAGAGTGTGCCCATGGACGGTGCGGCATCATTTTCCCATGGACGGTATCCCTGGGCCGGCCGAAAGGGATTCCCAATAACCCTTAGACCGTGGCTTGGATTGGTGGTCTCAGGAGCACAACTCCTGGCCACCAAGAGGAAAGCTGAAAAAACAAATCATACTCAAAGGGGGCAGGGTACTTATCAAGGACTTAATTTGGTTATATCCCTCTGAATGGAGACTTATAACCATGGCTTTTGTGGGTTCGGCTTGTGAACCACTTAAGCCTCCAAATTATAGCTCCAAGCCACCAAGAGGGAAGCTGAACAAAGACAACACATGCCGCATGCCCAGGTTGGCTCCGTTCTGATCGATGTGGAAACCGGCGCCGGTTCCGCCCCGGCGGCTGCTGCGCCAACCCCGTCGGCACCGGCGCCGACTCCGGCGGCACCGGCGGCCGCGCCGGCAACCCGGCGCAATCGGCGGGATAGGTTGGGCAAATATCTCACTTCCTGAGTTCATGGACTTTAAACTTTTTGGGTTCGGGAAACATAGTGGCGCACAAACAGTTGCTGTTGTTTTTCTGCCCATCCACTCAGGGAGTGAGTACGGGAAAATAGTGATTGCTGAGTCAGCTTGGAGGGGTGGGGTACCCTTGGTGAGCTTTTACAAATGTTGTTTTGCCCCGCACAACGAACTGTGATGAGTTTGCTCTTTTGCTATATTTTCATTTTTTGATTTTCTGGCAGGGGGGGGGGGGGAAGGATAGCGCTAATCGGAGTTTTTTTTGGTGTCGGCAAACAAATAGTAAGGGTGACTAGATTGTGAAACCTGGTCTGAAACAGAACATCGTTTTGATGAGGGGATTCTGGGGTAGCAGGGTAGCATTCATTTTGGGGGTGAATAATAAGTTCCAACATTGTACCTATAGCCTATATATGTACACTTGCGTACCGCATTTGTAGATGTATATGTAGGTACATTTTGGTGAGGATACCCGTTTCCACACTTGTCAGGTTGGTCTTGAAGGGAAGCCAAGAGGAAACTCACCATTCAAAAGCAACCATTCGAAGCACCCATATGTTGAAACATAGGCCATGGTCGTAGTTGAAGGAAGATCAACATGAGAGCGTTGAAGCAAAGGTGGGTTGACATGCTCACTCATGGGAGACGATCTCAGTGACTCAGGCCCCCAAGGCAGCAGCGGCTCCCAGTGCCGGCGGCGGCACGAAGGCGCCTGGGGTGCTGGCGACGCCGAAGGTGCGAGGCCTGGCGCGGCAGATGGGCATCGACCTGAACTCCGTGCAGGGCTCCTCGGCGACGGGTACGCGGTGCGAATCGCCTGCCAATCGCAAGCCCTTGTGCAGGTGCCAAAAGCTGAAAGGTGAAATCATATATTTGGTTGTTTTCCTTTGTTGGCTTCAAGGGAATCGATTTCACAGCTGGAAATATGCTTTTATCCTTTTTTTGCGGCTTGAGCAAATGGAAGGATAGTAAGTGATTGGTAACCATCGTTCTAAGCTGGTAGTTCTGGTTGTAAGTTCACCAGGTTGGTTGCAACTCAGAACCAGCCTTACTATTCCTTTTACCCAACGCCAATTTTTGCTGTGCAAGCCCCATACCCGCTGCCTAAGCCCCTGGGCCTTGGCTGCCTAAGCTCCTGGGCCCTGGCTTCCAATCCAGTGGCTGTTCCATTCGGCCTGTAGGCCAGCCATGAGAAGTGTTGTTGGCCCAGCGTAGGAAACAAGTCTTCGTTGGTGTCGACTTCAAGGGCCTTTGACCTTACATTGTCGCATTTTGCCAACGGATGTTAGGACTTTAACTTTTTTTACCAACTTCAGGTGTCCCAGTCCGGTTAACGAACCACGGGGCAGGCTGGGCTTCACAGATTGGCAGATGTGTTAGCATTGGGCTTCGGAAAGAAAGGACTGCCGCATGAACAAGTGAGATGCTTCATGCGATCTCAACTGCGGGAAGTGTGCAAAGGAAGCCGATTGGGGTGTGAGCAAATATGATTCTGAATGTGTGTGCGCATTCCAAGGTCAAAAAAAAGCTTGCCAGCTGTATAGGAAGCTTGCTTCCGAGGGAGTAGGGGGAACAAGGGGGGACCTTGCTTACAGAAAATCTGAACCTTGGAGAAAAACCCGGCCGGCTCAAAAGGAAGCGACCCTTGAGAAAAACTCGGGCCGACTTGGACCCAGGCTTCTTTTTGGATCCCTGAAAATCACCTGTGGATTCTTACTTGCCGAGCATGACGGGTTTCCCAGCCAGTTCCCGTTTTGGAATCAAAGCCACCCGTAGTTGATCAACTTTAAGGGAAATCCGGGCAGCTGCTGGACTGAGGCTCTGGCGCCAACGGCCGCGTCTTGGAGTCAGACCTCCAGGCCGCCCCCGCGCCCAAGGCGTCCGCGGCCGCGGCCTCTCCCGCGAAAGCGGCCTCCGCGCCGCGCGCGGCGCCGGCGGCGCGCAGCCTGGAGGACCAGGCGGCCAAGAGCATCAGCGCCGCTTTTTCCAGGATGTACTTTTTCGTGATTTCCCACGAAGCGAACAGGGAACCGTCGCACAACAATCCACCCCCGATGTTTCCTTCAAGTCCGCTGAACCCATGTCTTTTTGGGACATGAATGAAATTGGGGGGACCTTGGGCCTTCAACCCCGCTTGAGGTAGGGATTCGGATGTTTTTCAAGACTCTTTTGTTTTTGTCCCCTTTCTGTTGCTTGCGTCTTTGGCTTCACCGCACTTTCCCTCCCGCCTTTCTCGTTGTTCACTTCCCTTTTCTCCACTTGCCTCTTATTAAGAGTAGTTATTATTTAAAGGGAATCTCCCCTTTCATTTGCTTAAGAATAGTTATTATTTAAAGGACATCTCCACTTTCATTTGCTTAAGAGTAGTTGTTATTTTTCCCTGTTGGTTTTAAAGACCTATCACTACTGGACCTGGTTCTTTTTTCCAGGGCCAAAAAGCAAATGGAAGCTCCAGGTGGTGCAGATCACGGACAACGTGGGCAAGGGCATGGTGAAATCCATGCAGGCCTCGCTCTCGGTGCCCTACATGGCCCTGGGCGAGGACGAAGTCACCGCGATCCATCGATGTCGGATCGCGCGTCTTTTGTTGTTCACCCCGGCGGGGTGAGAAAACCCCAAGTTGTCACTGACTCATCTCTGGGAAAGTTCCGCAACTCGGACGTTAAAGTTATTGGGTCTGGCCCATTTTAGTGGTAAATAGAAAGTTTGGAGTTTGTTTGGGCCATCTACTCAGGAAACAGGTTTGCTATGTACTCCATGGGACCACAACTCCAAAGACTTCAATGCATGTGCAGATTTACCATCTTAGCTGTGAAGTCGCACCCTGCAACCTCCAGGAGCAACTACTCTAGGGATTTCCCTTCATCTGAGCCCTAACTTGCTGTTTACGTTTTTTTGGCAACATTGTGCTAGTTGTTCGGTGACACTATTAAAGTTCCTTGCGGGCTTCCCATTAAAACTGCTCTGCCGTAACATAAACTGTGCCCTTTTTCTACCAAATCTTCGGCCAACCGGGTTTCGATTGAGGTTCCCGGCAAGGTTCCCTTGGATCAAGCAAGGGGCCCGATTTTGTTCCTGTTTGCCAAGGGTTGGTTTCACACACACCCCTCAGCCCCCGCCCAAAGCGCTGGCTCAGGTTGCCTTGGCTATGAATTTGATTGGGGAACACCCTCGAAAGCCTATTGTGGACATAGACCTAAAAATGATTCACACCCCTGCTACAGGTTTCCAAATTTGGTGGTATGGGACTTGGTCCCATGCTTCAAAAGTGGACCCCCGCGCTTCTGGCCGGGCCTCGTTTTTCTCATGTGGAACACACCGCCGTGCCCACAGGCGGAAGGCCGGTTGCCAGCTGGAGTCTCCGCAACCCCTCGAGTGTTTTTTGCCTTGTGCTTGACCCCACTTTTGTTTAGAGAGTCGCTACCTCGTGCAAGTACGGAAGATGCCCCAGGGTGCTTTAAGGACGGGACATACGACAATAGACACATACATAAGACAGGGCAGGAGCAAGATAGTATCAGCACCTATCAGCATGTATCAGCTATCATCATGCAATTCTGGAAGAAACGGCTTCCCAAAGCAAGGTCCTGCCGCAAAATGTGTTCCATGCAGTCAAGGCCCCCCATTCTTGGGACGGGGGCAAGTTGGGACGGGCGCATGTGAGTTCACAGCTTATACAAGGGGTACATGCGCGGTGTTTATTGGGCTTGTGGTTTTGGGGTAGCGGACACCATCTTAGAAACCAGGCGATCAGAGTTATATCAACTACCCTTTAAGCTGAGCTTGCTGCATGTGCACAGCGGTTGGGGTGTTTTCATGGTTGTTGTTGGGAAACATTTTACATTATTGCTTATTGTGGTTTAGTGGGAAATCTCCACTTAGCTGCTAAAGAATAAGTTTTTGCTCCCCTTCCAACATCAACCGAGTTTTGGGAACAGGAGATCGATATGACGGAGATCTTGAAGATGCAGAAGCAGCTAAAGGAGGTGGCCCTGAAGAAGTACGGCACCAAGATTACGGTGACCTCGCCTCTCGGGGTCAGCAGATATCCATGTGTCCAGCTTCAAGCTATGTTCTGTGGGATCCTTAAAGTACAAAAATGCGGTTCGATTTGCGTGGGGTCATTATTTTTGACGGTTTTGCTTGGATGTTAGGACTTTATCTTTTTGCCAACGAATGGGCTTTCTGTATTAAACAACTAAAAGGTTTAAACTCTTATCACGCGAGCAGAAAGCAACCAAGCATGTGTCCAGCTTCAAGCTATTCTCTGGATTTGCCTTGGGTAATTATTTTGGACGGTTTCTGGGGGTGATCAAAGTCCAGAAATCGTTGGTTGTTTTTTTTACCCACCACTGAACGGGAGGTGACTTTCATCATGGTAGAATCATGAGGCCAGTTTGCAGATCCTTTTGAATTCCCCTACCCATGTGTCCAGCTTCAAGCGATTTTCTGTGGGGTCCTTAAAGTGGAAAAATGGTTTAGCGGCCGGTTTGAGGGTGGCTTCCCTGTAAATGGCAATTTAGACGGTAATTCTAGAGGATGTCTCTTAGTGGACCCAGTACCTCCCACTGAAATAGAGCTGCCGTGAATTAATGGTTTTCTCACCCTGAGAGCGGTGGTCATTTTCAAGCTCAGCCCAACAAAAAACCTGGTTGTCCTGTTTGTGCCACCTGTGTGCCGTTATCTTATTGAAGTGATGTTCTCCATACCCCAGAACAGCTGGGGTCTCCTCCAAAGTTAGTTTACATGTTAGGGCCGGCTAAGTATGAACCAGACTCAGAGCAGGTTATTTTTGTTGCATGCCCCAGATGTGGGCCAAGAAAGGACACCTTGCGTAAAGCTTGGAACCTGCAGCCCAGGTTCATGCTGAAAGCCATCTCTTTGGCGCTGATCGAGAACCCCAAGGTGAATTCCAAGTTCGGGCCGGCAGATGCCAACCCTCCCAGCTACACCATCTATGGGTCCCACAACATCTCTGTAGCTGTGGCTGCCCGGCCTGGGGTGTAGTAACTCTCCTATTTGGGTGACCGATCTTTAGACGTTAACTCTTCAACTTGAAATCAAGTTGGTGTGCCATCAAACAGGCAAAAGTGAAACACTTTTTGCAGAAGGGTCAACAGCAATACATGAACCTTGATCAGAACATATTGTTTTTAGAGTACCAAGACGTGGGCGAGGGAAATGGTCCCAGTAAACCCTTTTTGGAAAGGAAGGGGACAGGGGGCAAACCCCAAACGAAAAGTCATCTTCCAAAACCCTTCGACCGGAAGAACGTAGAAGTGTTTGTTCTGTTTTGTTTGATTTTGGGGCCGCTTAGTTTGCTTGTGTTCCTTGGGTAGGAGCCAGCCCAGTTTGGTGAACCCCACGGACCACAGGGTAAGCACAAAGGGGGCTCGCAAACTGCAAAGCGGCGTTTTCATTAGAAACCTTAGGTCTGGCCTTTCATGCGTCATGACAACCGGAAAGGTGTGTCGCCTTGTTTTGCTATGGTTTTGGGATGCAGGTGTGAGATTGAAACTCCCCGTAAGATCAACTGCAGAGTGAACATCAAGCCAAGTTGGTGCGTCTCATCAAAGCCTTGGGCCTCTCAAGGATACTCCGAACGGCCTGATGGTGCCTAACATCAAGGACGTGGCCAACAAGAACGTGATGGAGATTCAGGACAAATCCGTTGATGCGGTTCCCAAGTGTTCACTCCTTTTGGTTTCGATTTGGTATATTAAGGTCCTGCCATTTCCAGTTCCTCTGAAAAGTAAAGAACAATGGGATGTTAACGGGGGGGAAAAGTTGGTTTTCATTGTGGTCACCCCCGCCACACAAATGTTAGTGGCTACTCTCTTGAAGTGATCAGGCTGGATGGGAATCCCACTTTGGCATCACGAGACTGATCTTCCAACAGATTGGCTCGTGTCCTGCAAGGATTGCAATGGAGACTAAACTAGCCCTCCCTGATTGATCACCCTCCAATTTTGTTGCGGCCCCCCCACAACTGCCCGTTCTTCGCTGCTTGATTCCTCTCTTCAAGAAAGCCGCAAGCCCCTCATGAACAACTGGTGGGTGAATTAGTACAGCAGATCAAACACGGGGATGTGTCAAATTCGGGGACCCACAAATGGCCTGAAAGGGCATCCTCAAACAAACAGCGTTTCTTTTGGTTTCCCCTCACACAAAGGTCAAAAGGGCACCCTCGAAAACACATACACACGAGAGACAGAAAGAGAGAGAGGGAGAGAGAGAGAGAGAGAGAGAGAGAGAGAGAGATAGATGTTGTCGGCCTGGCCTGCAACCTCAGGACGAGCTGATGCGCGTGGCTCAGGCGGCTCAGCAAGGGAAGCTGGCCATGAGCGACATCCAGGGAGGGACAATCACTTTGTCCAACATCGGCGTCATCGGCACCTCGCCAAATGAAGATGCAACGTTTTGGACTTGTGGAATGGAGGGAGGAGGGGGCGGGGGCTCCTGGAATTCCAAATGAGGGCCCAGTTTTCAGGCGGGAAGACCAGATCCCTTTCTCCATGGAACCTGAAGGCTTCACGGGCCTTTGGGGGTGACAGGTCCATGTTGCCGCAATGTTGCTGCTTTCTGTTACATTTTGCATGTGAGCCCCCCTTGAAAGTAGCAAAAAAGCAGGGAGTTTAGCAGTGGTATTGCCCACATCGACATGACCAAGTGCTGGAAAGGGCTTCTCCTGGATCTCATTTGTAACTTGTCTGTTTTGTTTTGCTTGGGGATATGTTAACTTATTTCTGGTTTTGGGCGTATTGTGGAATTTGCAGAATCTGCATAGTGGCACACAACACATGACCCCAGCGCACCCATTGTTCGCATACGAGCAATACGAGCTGGGGCAAACTTAAGGGGAGCGGTTGCCTTACGATGTTCTATACAACAAACCTGCCGGCAGGGCATGGGTATGATTATCGGCGCCACCAATAACATCGTATTCGTAGTCCTGGACATTCTTCGGCTTTCGCAGTTCCAGTTTCTACTTGTGAAAGGGGTGGTTCTCGTAAGGGTAGCTGCGCGATGAGGGTCGCGAAAGTTTCGCGAAAGAGATTTTGTTTTTCGCGAAGAATGGCCGTTCCAGGAACAAGGAATTTAGATCAACGGCCAGGTCATCTCTTGCATTTCCCCTTTGGAAGTGACACTATGCAGCTCCCCTTTGCACTCGCCATGAGCATCACCGAGTTGCCCAAAGCAAAGTTCCCTGTCGTGACCCTTTGTCCCATGTATATTTCGGCAAGGTCCCGACCGGTTGGGTTCGAACTTGGTCTGTTGAGTTCGTGTCTTCAAATCGGTGCAGTTGATCCAAATAAACGCTCGTTGCTATCCCAGATCGTTTGGAAGGCTGAGAGGGCAGAGGCTCGGTCAATAGGACCAAATCGAAAAGGGATCCGTTGGCCTTAGGTGAGCTGAGATAGGTTGAAAATGGCACTTCTTATTCCCCTGCAGGCTAACATACCCATGTTTGGGGCTCCATCCTCCTGCTTCGTAGGGGGGTGAGGAGAGAGTTGTTTTGCTGCTTGCCAACCGACTGAACCTATGTAGGTTCTTAAGATTGGAGAACCCAACCATAAATCAGAGATGCCACCCCCCTGAGAAGGTGTAATTTACGCATAAAACGGGATCTTGTTTTCCTTCTCAGCATGGGCAACAAGCAAATGACGGTGTTTGTTGAACATATCCTAAAACCGAAGTACTCGCGGATCAATCTCGCGGCCTCAACTCGCAGAAATTTCTTGGGATGTGCCTCAAAGTAGCCGTCCCCAAAGCAGGCAATTTTGGGGATGTCATGTAATCAGGTAACCCTTGGTCGGTGGTCTCTTGATTGGCGATTTGGATTCGCATTTGAACCCCTGGCCTTGGTAGAGGGTTCAGGAGAAACCCCTCCTTCACCAAAGCCACCAATCCCAACCACCAACTGGAGGCAAGCTGACCCAGGAATCGAACCGCGGAAATTAGTCCAATGGGCAACGCTCGATGTTTGACCCAGACCCACTTCCACTTTGTGCAGCACCCCCGCAAAGCCGGGCCCCCAACCAGTGCCGGCAGAAGCGCCCGCAGGCACGAAGGATCCCCGACCCATCCTCTTCGACGGGCAAGCGGTCATCGGGGCCACCGGGAGGACCATGACGCTGCCCAGGTACAATGCCAAGATGGATGCTTTGGCGAAATTTGATGTTTGGGGTAGTCAAGCATGCTGTTCCTGCGCTTGGAAGCAATCTGGAAGAGGTTCACATCGCCAGAGAACGTCAACCATAGACGAATTGCGTTGATATTCAAGCTTGATCGAGAAATCTAAGTTGGTGGTTTGGGTTGGTTTGGATGCGGATTTGAAGCCCTTCTTGTAGACGGTCAATGCACCAGACCACCAATCCAAACCACCACCAGAGGGGAAGCTGAGACAAAGCTGTGGAAGTGGGGGTTTCCCAACTCCAGTTTCATGCGTCTTACGGCAAATGAGAAGGTGGTGGTAGTTGGGGCCAATGGGGCTGGCTCGCCGCGATGTCCGTGGCACCCCAGTTTTGTCAACCCAGCCGAGCGCTTTTTGGACCCACAGGGCAAGAGGTCCTTCTGGGGCGGAAAAATGAACTCGGGTCCCCTGGTTTGCCTTCCAAACACCTGGGTGTAGTTTTTGAGGAGGTCACTTCACCGTACCGCAGCTTGTACTGTTGGATCGAGTTCAGTGACTCTCCACCCCAAGCTTTGGGTTTTGGTTGGCTCCGATGGCTCCCTCTGTCCAACGATGGGCAACTGGGTGCAGCTGGCCCCGTCTTAACAAGGAGCAGGCGACCGGGTTTCCCCTTAGGCTGGGAGGCTCTGCCCTGAGGGCGGTCCGGCCAGAAGGCTTGCCACTTCTCCGGGGCCTTATTCAATTCCAGACTTAGCTTACCTTTTCGAACTGTTTGCCCTGTTGGTTTTCCGGAACCATTGCCCTTTCAAACAACAAATCCTTACAGCATTTTGAGTTTCAAGAGTGGCCCCCTAGGTCTTGCAACGACTGTCAGCGATTTTTCACAGGGAAGGGTTTTTTCTCAACTTTCCCTGCCCAAGCCATCCGGCCATCAAGGTAAAGGTTGGACCAGGGACTGACCAAGCGTTCACCTCTTGGATCCAACAATTTGGGATTCCCTGCCGGCAAAGGGGGACCAAAAGTCTGCTGAGAAGCAGAAGTGTCTGAACGTAGCTGGCAGGATTCCACCCCATGTTGGTTTAGTCCGTTTTTGTGAGCAACAGGGGGATGCTGCCATCTGCCAGTTCCTTGGGGAAGAATAAGTCTGGGTTCAAAAATGTTTCCCTTTTTGGTTGCACCCTCCTGTCTTTTGCACCCTCCTGTCCGTTATAGCGTGACTGAGCGGTCCTGGACGGTTCTGGACGACTGTTTTCCTCTGAAAGGGACCTTTTTGTGGGCTCCATGGGACAGGGTAAATGATTCTCTGTGCCATTTTTTGTTTGGGGGTAGGTACAAGGGGGGCCAAGAAGTTTGAGGGTTCCTTAGGGTTTTTCTGAGCCCCTTGAACCCCCCACCCCCCAACCCCCGCCCCCTTGAGCCTTAGGGACCCACCCCACCGATACTGATGGCCGACTTCGGGGAGCTGAGGAGCTGGTGCCGCGGCAGGTCATGAACATCCGCTGGGTGGGGGACCACCGGCACCTCGACGGCGCCGGCCTCGCGCGGTTCTCCAACTCCTTCAAGGCGCGCAGCCGGCGGGGGGGCGGGTGGGGGAGGTTGGGGGGGGGGGGGGTTGGGGGCGGGGGGGGGGGCTCACGATTCACTGCTTTGTGGTTGGGGGGGGGGGGTTGTTTTGGTATCCATGTCCTGTTTGGCTGTCAATGACGCATGCGGAGCCAGTCCCGGGCCTGATCCCGGTTTGTGGCTCTGGTACACCAGAAGCTGTTTTTTTCTCTCTCTCTCTCTCTCTCTCTCTCTCTCTCTCTCTCTCTCTCTCTCTCTCTGGTATCCATGTCCTTGAGCGTTTTTTTTTGTTCACCCTGTTGGTTTCAAATGGAATCTGTCACTACTGGACATATTGCTTTTGTTTGGCGCAGGGGACTTAAGCGCGGGAACTGTTTGTGGTTCCGTAGGGGGGTGGGGGGTGTTGTAGGTTTGTTTGGGTGAGTCCCTAACTTTGAGCTAGTGGGGTTGTTCTCTGGACTTTAACTTATTGGGACAATTGTTGTTACCCCACTCACGTGCAACAAATGAACAACCTCTGCGTGCACAGGGGGGTTGAGCCACCCAGTTGAGTGGCACGGTGAATTCAGATAGCACATGGAGCACCAATTGTTGTCCAGCAATTGTCCTTGTGCTAAGTATGACTGCTAAGGGTGCCTATTATAGTTGGGTATGCAACCAACGCTTACCCACTACAGGCAACAAGTTTGAAGCTTGCTTTGGACATCCACTGAGGAGATTGGGGGCCTGAAGGGCAAGATGTCTGTGTCCCGGGTCCTTTGTGGCTGCATTTTGTCAAAATTTGTCTTGGCGTTCGTTGAAACCAACCTCTGCGGTGTTAACTTGCGCGAGGTCCCGGGGAATAGTTTGCAGAAGCGTTCCAAGGGCTTCAGAAAAAATAGCGCACACCACCACTCTTCCAGTGCCTCAAGCAGCTCAGATTACGTTTTTTCAACCAAAAAGCACAAAGGTTTTCAACCGGTAACCCCACACGCCAAGACCGCTTGGACTATGCCACAGCATGCCGTTTCAATGCTATCCGGGCCAATCAAGCCTTGTGCCAGCAAAACACGCGCCAAACAAGGACTCCAAATCTCTGTCAAAACATGCGGACATACCTTAGCAAGCTTGTCTCGGGAAGCGCTGCTCCCATTTGCTCCGAGCAGTGTTCTGGAATAGGGTAATGCAAGTGACTACATCACGATGGCGCAGCCCTTTTCCTTGGGGAGTTGCAGATTTCTGAGGATAATGCTCGCTTGTAAGTTCGCCTTCAGGTTTCCAAAAATATGGATGAGTTTGGAATGTGCCCCAATTTTAGGCTTGCTTTTCTCCACGTCTTAGCCTGAGCTTGGAGATGTTCCAAGCTCTCCAAACTTAAGCTCGCTTTCTCCTAACTCAGCCCTGAGAAATCAATTTGGGGGTCCCCTAAAGTTGGCCTTTACTCAGCCTGAGTTTCGAGATTTGCCGAACTTAGTCTTGTCTATATTGACCAAACAAAACCCTTGTTTGACCCATCCAATTTCCATCGAAAAGCGGATAGTCGCCACCAATACATTTGCGAAACGCGTCTTCGCATGCAAAGCCAGGCGAGTTTGCAAAACACGGGCCTGAGCGTGAAGATTATCCAAACTCAAGCCAAGTTTGGAGAAAACAGCCCTGACTGAGTTTGGAGAATCATCTCAAGCCCGGGCCGAGTTTGGAGAAACAAACTGAGTTTGTAGAATCTCCAAACGCGGGCCCCAGTTTGCAGAAAATGGGCCCGAGTTTGAAGAAGACTTGTCAGTCCTGGTTAGTCCAAACTCTTTGTACGAAGCCAAGAAGCTCTCCAAGTTTGGAAAATGGAGGAACAGGGCCCGAGGTTGGAGAACTTCTAAACTGCACCTGAGTTTGCAGAAAACAAGCCTGACTTTAATTTGAAGAATCCGCAAACTCAGCCCGAGTTTTGAGAAAACGGGCCCGAGTTCGGAGAATCTCCAAACTCACCCCGAGTTTGGAGAAAACGGGCCCGAGTTCGGAGAATCTCCAAACTCAGAGTTTGGACTCAGAGCTTGGAGACAACGGGCCTAAGTTTGGAGAATCTCCAAACTCACCCCGAGTTTGGAGAAAACGGGCCCGAGTTCGGAGAATCTCCAAACTCAGGCCCGTTTTCTCCAAACTCCTTTTGTGAAACACGCGAAGAAGCGTTCGGCAAGTGTTTTGGTGGAGAAAATAAGCGTTCGGATGGAGATTTTCAGGCAAAATAAGCGTTCTGCAGGAGAAAAACACATTGAAATCTGGAGTTTGGAGAATCTCCAAACTCAACCCGAGGTTGGAGAAAACGGGCCCGAGTTTGGAGAATCTCCAAACTCAGGCCCGTTTTCTCCAAACTCGGGCCCGAGCTTGGAGAATCTCGGAATCTCCAAGCGCACCCGAGTTTGGAGGAAATGGGCCGGCGTTTGGAGCAGAGTTTGGAGAATGTCCGAACTGAGTGGAGAATCTCCGAACGCAGGCCTAAGTTTGGAGAAAATCTGTCCGAGATTGGGGAATTTCCAAACTCATCCCGAGTTTGGAGAAAACGGGCCTGAGTTTGGAGGATCTCCAAACTCGGGCCCGAGTTTGCCAAAATTCGATACTCAGTTCGAGTTTGGAGAATCTCCAACCTCAGGTCTGTTATTCCAACCTTGGGCGGTGCGCTTGGAGATTCTCGAAACTCGGGCCTGAGTTTTTGGAGAACACATGCCTCAGTTTAGAGAATCTGCAAAGTCATCCACGGTTTGGAGAAAACGGGCTGAGTTGGAGAAAAAAGGCTGACTTTGGAGAAAAGGAGCCTGACTTTAAAGAGTGAACGCAGGCCCCAATGGGCCTGAGTTGGGGGAAAACGGGCCTGGGTTTGGCAACTCGGACCCGGATTTGGAAATCTTCAAACTCGAGCCTGAGTTTCCCTAAACTCAGGTTGAGTTGGGAGAAATTGGCTAGAGGCTAGAGTTTGGAGATTACGAGCCTGAGTTTGGAGTATCTCCAAACTGCCCTCACTGAGTTTGGAGACAACGGGCCATAGTTCGGAGATTCTCCAATCGCAACAGCCCGAATTTGGAGAAACTGTCTAGCGGACTCAGCTCGAAGAAAAAAAGACCCGAGGAGTCGTGAGTCTTGACATGCTTGCTGCTGCCTCCTATCACCCATCTCGGTGATGAGATCGGAGACTGGGACTGTTTGCACCAAACGCGGCACACTCATGCCCCCCTATTCTCAGAACTCTTCCAATTTACGGGGTCTCAACAAATGAACCGAGTTTCTTCATATGGCGCTACGGGTGCGCAGAAACTGACGTTAGCCCAACTTTGTTCAATTTCAACCCTGGGTTTGGAAAGTCGAGCTCGGTTCCCGACCTTGTTGCAAGGCCTTGTCACAGCAAGATGCGTTCCGGGCTTCCAACAACGGTTGTGAGTACAGGTTGCAGAAACGAAACGTGTTTGATCAAACTGGGGCATGAACACGACAGCTCACTTGGGGGCTGCTATTGCCCCAAGTGAGCCGCCGTTTTCATGCCCCAGTTTGATCAAGAGCGCTTCGTTCCTGCAACCTGCACTCACAGCCGTTTTGGGAAGCGTGGAACGCTTGTTGCTGTGGATTGCAAAAAAGGCCTGAGCTCGTGCAAGTTAACACTCTGCGGGGCAGGGTTTTTGTTGATTTCCCTTTGACCCCCTCAAAAGCGGTTGGTGGACAAAAATCCCCTGTTAAAATGAAGTTCCTGTTTTCGGGGAAACGATGGAGAGGGGCTGTCGAGGCATACATGGAGAACCCTGGAGAGTGGTGCCTCACCATGCGCTGAGCACCCGCTTTTGCTCGATGAGGTGCGCCCCGGCTGAAGGAAACGTCAGACCGCCCACCCCGCTGGTGGGGTATTTGATAGGTATGGCTCGTCCAAATCCTTCCCGCTTCAACTATCCTGAAACAAATGCAGCGCCGGATAGGGCAATTGGGTGGCATTTGGCCCATTTCTCCAAAAGTTTTGTGGCAGGGTCCTTATGGCCTCCTGGAGAGTATTGTTATTGTTTTTTTTGGGGGGGGGATGGTGCTCAGCCCATACGGCTTCATTTGCCCAAGAAACCGACAGCTGGCCTGTGAATTAGCTCTGTGTGTCTGTGTCTGATTGTGCGCCCGTGTTTTTGTAGGGTAGGTTGGTTTCCAGGCACACCGAGAGCAGCCCATTTTGGGGCTCCACCCATGGGGAACTCGTAGCCCACCGCTTTGGACACCTTTAATGGGGCGATCGATGCGATCGGGCACGTCAGGCAAGTGGTTAAGCCTGGTGAAATAACCCACGTAGGTCCATGGCTTTTGTGGGTTTTCACCAGGCTTACGAACCACTTACGAATGAAGTATGTTTTGCCTTTTGGCGGTTTTAACTGAACATCGGCTGGTTCAATTTAGAGTGACTCTTGTGGGAGATGTTGAAAAGGGATAGCAAGCGAGCCTGAGGCTACCCTTAGAACAAGGAACGGCCCCCTGAATTGGTTAGGTTTTTGCTGGAGGTATCAAGTGGCAAAAGCCCGCAAAAGCTGGACATTCGGCGATATGATGCAACTCAATATTTGAATATCCCAAAACCTTAGACCACCGGTCTGCTTTTAAGCCTTTCACCTACCTGTAGGAACAATATATATATATATATGTATAAATGCAACGCCAACCCTGACTGGCAATTTGGCCGCGTTTTTCAGCATGTTCAGTGCCGGGCCAGCGCTCAAAGGGACCCAGGTGCTTGGCTGGGTTCCAATCGCCCAAAATTTACACCAAGCCATCAAGGGGCTCCAATTCTTTTTTCAGCTGCCCTTTGTTGACATGTTGGAACATAGGCCCCGCGGTTGAAGAACCCCGGTTGGAAGGATTCCCGGAAGGCTTCGTTCAATATTTTGAGCTTTTGGACTTGTTGTTTTCCAGTATCGGAGGTGACTGCATTGGGTATGTAACCCGGCTAGGCCTTCAAAGGTTGCAGTGTTGCAGTATCCAAGCTTCTCGTGACGGTAGTGGTTAGGGGTACTGGGTGAACTAAGGACCTCAGCTGCTCAAGCCTCGGGTTTCACATGGGCACAGCTAGCCTTCGCTTTGGCCAGCGGGAGCTGTGCGATCTCTGCCAAGATGTATCCTTTTCCCAGCGGGGCAAACATATGAGAGCTGATCAATTGCATATTGTGCATATCACGGTTCATGGAATAATCCGTGCGGAAAGTCATCGTCCTCCAGTGGGGGCGAGTCGGATTCTCTCCCCCTTTTTGAATTGGTTGTCCCCCTCCAAGCCAACGATCAGAAGCCTTGCATACTGGGGGACGTGACAGATTGATTTCATGGAGGCGAAAAAGAGTGTGGACGCATGCTGCCAGTTGCTGGATCATGTTTTCCGTTGTTTGGTTCCATTGGACTATTTCCAGGTGATGGACAGGATCCTGCGCGACTCGGATGGATGACTCTATGAAGAATGACTGGAACAATCTACCACTGGTGTAGGATTTTGTCCATCCACATTGGTTGTTCTCCATTGCTGTTGGCATAGTTTGGGCCATGCCTGCCTTGGGGCCCTCACGTGGGACGCCAGGTGGCGTGCAGTCGCATCTTGTAGACCTGTCAGTAGGGCTGTTCAATGGGAATCTTTTTGGCAACTGAGTTTCAGAAGGTTTCCCTTGAAATGGTAGCCTTTGATCAAAGGCCTGAACAATGGAGGCTTTCCTTTGGTTCCCTTGAAGCAACATCTACCCCAGCCGATGGGGAGAGGGTCTTCGGAGCAGCCCCATGACCCACCCAAAAAGCCAAGTCAGTCAGTTTGTAGTTGGGTTTTATAGGTCCTTTCAACAAATATGGGAGTGCACAGTCCCGTTTTGGCAGACTCTACTTTTGGAAGATGCTTGTGCACCGAACCACGTTACAAGGGTAAAATCTCATTTACACTGTCGCACTGCTCACGCTACCGCCTACGATGCAGTGGTGCAATGCTCCGCTCCCGCCGGACTTTCGCGTGGGAACCCGTTTTTTGTTTTGTTTTTTTCAGAGGGGATCCCGGTCACTTTTTGGCCACCTGATGAATCCATCATACTTGTTATCAGTCACGGTCGACTGCTCGGCACTGTGGCTCACTTCTCAAAAGATGATGTTGTTTGTGTGACTTGTTTCAAGGCGCCGTTTTTTGGGGTGGTTAAACATGGCGTTGAAAGGAGCACCAATTTGCAAAGCGGTTTCCTTATTTCCTCACTTCCTGAGTTCTTCGACATGAAACTTTTTGGGTCTGGACCATTTCAAAGAAACAAATATTTGAAAAAGTGCCAGGGGAGAAGCCAATTTTTTGCGAGGGAATTTGAATCTCCTGACTTCTGGTCAATCTGAAGTTGGTCTCCACCAATGAAATGGATAAACACTGAAAACTCACTTCCTTTCATTTACCGCTTCTTTGTTTTTGTTCGCCCCCATGTGGCGCTGGACACACAACATGAGACGCGTAAGGGAGGCGTTTGAAACATGTTTGTTTATGGTTGCTGTGAAAATTGACCATGCTTGACTTTTAGCAGACCACCATACCCAGTTCACCTGCCTCAAACCTTCTTCAACTCCTTTGGTTCGTGGTTGGTTACCCAGAACTGGTGCAATCTTTTTATATTGTACCCCTAAGCCGCCCCGCGGCTTTCAGTTGGTAGCGCTTGAACCAGTATAGGATTGAACATGTTGCGACCTGGAACATGCAAGTTGTTTTCTTCCCAATCGGTCCCTTGCAGGTGTGGCGCTAGGGCTCCTACAAAAGTGGCCAACTGCTTCAAGGTCTATGGGTCTACTGGCAGCGTTTCTAACCCAAAAGCGTCACCCGATGTTTGTTGTGCCGTTTGATTCTTTCTTGCTGGAAGACAAGCTTCCTTCAACAGACTTATCCGCACCAGCAACGCGAACCTCTGGCAGATTTCGTGTTTTGTTTTCGGGGTCGTCCACGTGAGAGGCGGGTCCTTGACCTTTACCGAGCTAGTGCTGCCCACCCACGCAAACCACATGGGCCGCTCGACTCGACTTCTTGGGTTTGGGGGGGGTTGATGTCTTTTACATGCCCTTATTGAATGGTTGCCACTTGATGGTTCACAGAACTTTTGTTGAAATGCCCTGAAAGTGGTTGCAATTTGAAGGGGTTCCGAGTTTCTTATTTAGTTTTGCGAGGGGCTTTCCTCCAAGCCTAGAAAATTGAGGATTGCTCCATATGGCTCCAGATGTTTTTCTCAAATGGAATCAGCTGGGAGACTCACGGGCCCAGATTTTGTTCTCAAATGGAACCAGCTAGGAGACTCTGAGTTTGGAAAAGGCCCAAATTCTTACGAGTGCAAACCTTTTCTGGCTGCCAGGGGTTCCAGCACAGGCGGACCCACGATTCACGGCTTGCTTTTGCAATATTCCCAGCAAATTTCGGGCTGCAGGCTGGCAAACGGAAATGCAAGAACTGGGTGAGTGAGACCTGCAAAGGCATCCATGGCAACTGGAGGTAGAGAAGGAATCAAACAGCTTGCCTCGCAAGCTCCGACCAGTTGTTTCGGAAGATAAAAGTGACCGACCCCAAGAAGGGTTCCTCTTTGGTTGCTACCCAGTTCTGATGCATCATTCGTCTAGTACTATGTACTTGCTTTTGCATACATACCTGTCAGGCCATGAGAATGTTACGATACCGGTGTGTGTGTGTGTGTGTGCGTGTGTGTGTGTGTGTGTGTGTGTGTGTGTGTGTGTGTGTGCTTGCGTGCGTTCGTTCGTGCGTCAGTGCGTCAGTGCGTCAGTGCGTCAGTGCGTCAGTGCGTCAGTGCGTCTGTGCGTCTGTGTGTCTGTGTGTCTGTGTGTGTCTCTGTGTATCTCTGTCTGTCTCTGTGTGTCTCTGTGTGTGTGTGTCTGGGTGCGTGTCTGTGTGTGTGTGTGTGCGCGTCTGTGTGTTGTGTGTGTGTGTGTGTGTCTCCGTGTGTGTGTGTGTGTCTCTGTGTGTGTGTCTGTGTGTGTTTGTGTCTGTGTGCGTGTCTGTGTGTGCGTGTCTGTCATCTGTGTCTCTGTCTGCGTGTCTGTGAGTGTGTCGGTGTGTCAGTGTGTGTGTGTGTGTGTCTGTGTGTCTGTCTGTGTGTCTGTCTGTCTGCGTGTGTGTGTGTCTGTCTGTGTGTCTGTGTCTGTGTCTGTGTCTGTGTCTGTGTGTGTGTGTGTGTCTGTATGTCTGTCTGTGTGTCTGTCTGTGTGTCTGTCTGTGTGTCTGTCTGTGTGTCTGTCTGTGTGTCTGTGCGTGGGTGTGTCTGTCTGTGTGTGTCTCTGTGTGTTGTTTGTGTTTGTGTCTGTGTGCGTGTGTGTCTGTGTGTGTGTGTGTCTCTGTGTGTCTCTGGGTACTCTGTGTGCCTCCGTGTGTCGATGTGTGTCTGTGTGTGTGTGTGGATGCGCGCGTGCGCGTGTGGATGTGTGTGTGTGTGTTGGTGGGTTTGTGTGCGTGTGTGCGTGTGTGCGTGTGTGCGCGTGTGTGTGCGTGCGTGCGTGCGTGCGTGCGTGCGTGCGTGCGTGCGTGCGTGGGTGTGTGGGTGTGTGTGTGTGCCTGTGCGTGTGCGTGTGCGTGCGTGTGTGTGTTTGTGTGTGGTGTGTGTGTGTGTGTGCGTGTGTGCGTGTGTGCGTGTGTGTGCGCGTGTGTGTGTGTGTGTGTGTGTGTGTGTGTGTGTGTGTGTGCGTGCGTGAGTGCGTGCGTGCGTGCGTGTGTGTGTGTGTGTGGGTGTGGGTGTGCGTGTGCGTGTGCGTGTGCGTGTGCGTGTGTGTGTGTGTGAGTGTGTGAGTGTGTGTGTGTGTGTGTGT